CCGCTCTTTCATTTGAGCCCAAAAAAACATTCATATCTTGTCTGACATCTCTGTTACAAACTCTGGTCATCAACTCTGGTTTTCAGTTGAAATTGGAATTGTTAATTTACACAATAATAGGATTGCATTGACGATTTTTTCTTAACTCGCAAAAATCTTCAAACAATTTGCTATCGATTGGTGATAAAATTTTTTGGAAATAATGAAATAGAGGGGATAACGCCTTTTTTTTCAGAGATGATTTTTCAAAAATTTATTTTTAAAAAAGTACTAACTAGCAAATGTTTTTTATTAGCTCGCAATTTTCTTCAAAACTACTTCAATGAGGAAAAAAATAAAAATTTGGAATATCTATACATGAGGGGCTAATTGAGCGGATCTCTCTCAGTCGGTACCGACAAGGTACGTAAGGAGTGGGGGAACGCACTGGAGAGGGACTGGTGACGCCGCGCGACGAAAACCAGAGACTTTAACCACATAGTGAGGTGATCCCCGCCTTTGCGGGTTCTCGCTCCCATTATTATTCTCTCTGAGGCTAATTATTGTATTGGTAGAAGTGACAAAAATACTATTAAATAAAATTAGACATTCCGATTGACAAAGTCGATTTCTTTCAGAATTTTCCGAACTATCGTTTATTTGTAAAAAAAATACGGAAAAAGGCGGGGAATCCCTCATAGGGTGACCAATCCAGGGTTACGGCAAGAAAATTTCTTACACAAAACGCTTGTTTACATTTCTATAAATCAATGATTAGATAGTTTAACAAGCGTCAGGATAATTCAGTGAATTTTTCCATTTTAAAGGGAATTCAGATCGATCTCCTGATTTTGTAATAAATTTTTAAAATAATTTTTAAACTAATAAAATGTTCAATAGAATGTCGCAGCGCATGCACTCGTTTTTCCTATTAAATTTTCTCATGAATTTCTCCATTCATTCAATTCAATAACGAAGTGGTAAAACGGTTCAAATCGACTCATCTCCCAGTTAAGTTTTTTAAGAATATTTCCGAATCTAAGAGAGATGGCAAAATTTTCGCAATTACATTTGTTGTAGCTCTCAATTGGCTCTACAAAAAAGGTTGTAACAAAAATTCCGCTGTCTTCCTTGGATTCCGAGATATTCATCGAAAACTGGGCAATAGTAAAAATTTACTTGTGCCGTTTCACCACTTCGCTACTGAATTATATATATCCTAGGACAAAAATCAAGAGAGATAGTTTGGAGCCAAGAAATTCTCCCATAAAAAAGTTTGTCGACATTTTCCTCTTTCCGTGTAAAATAAAATAAAATAAATAAATAAGGCTCGGTTGCACCAAGCCGTTATCCAAATAAACCCCAGGGTAAAATTTATCCTCGGGGTCATCATTTTTCAATATTTGACCCGAAGAATAATGCTTTATTTATCCTGTAGCTCCACTTGAATTAACACTGATTTAACCTTGGAATTAAATTTTATTTTTTGTCCCTGGGGTAAATTTGAGATACTCTGGCGGGTAAAATAATCCATCGAACATTCAAATTTACTTTTTTTCTTATCTGACGTTTCTTATCTTTCTTTCTGACGTTTTTGTTACCCGGAGCTGGTGTAACCAGGCCTTAAGGGCAGACTTCTATGAGTTTTAAAAGTCGTGGGTTACTGGAGTGAGACTTTCCATACGTTGAAGATCCATTATATAGATCTGAAAACGAATAATTAGTGCAAAAAAACAAAATTTATTGTTCGTTTGCCCGAAAACGCTTAAAATGCCAAAAACCGTCCACGGCCTCCAATTTTTGAGCTATGATTTTAGGGATTTTTTTTTTAATTTTCGAAAAAATATGTGGAATAACAATTACGAGATATTTTTTTTTAATTCGCATCTTACATAGCTAAATTTGTTTTTTTTGTATTTTTTTACCCAAATAGTGAATTTTTTATATGAAAAAACCGAAATTAGCTGTGTAGGAGTCGAATTTCAAAAAACTGGCTCGTAATTGTTGTTACACACATTTTTCCGAAAATTGTGAAAAAAAAATCTTTTCTAGCTCAAAAATTGGAGGGTCTCGACTGTTTTTAGCATTTTGAGCGTTTTCGAGCAAACGAACGATAAAAAAAATTTTTTTTTACACTAATTATTCGTTTTCAGATCTATATAATCGATCTTCAACGTATGAAAAGTCTCACTCCAATAACCCACGACTTTAAAAACTCAGTAGTCTCCCCTTAAATTGAAAAAAAATGAATAAGTCTTGTCGGCACAATCCTTCCCACATTTTTTTTATCAATGAAACTGCCTGAATGTTGTGTGTATTCTAACCTCAACTGTTGCTCCTTCCTAACGTCAGTCTCGAGGGCATGAAAATCTATGGACAACAGTGCAACTATGGAATTCACTGACTCAATTCCCGACAGAATAGTGAGAATTTCTTTTCGCGATTCCACACACTCTTTAGTTATATCCAGCGGCGATATCAAACTCATACGCACTAGGCACGGCAACAACGGACGTATTTCTTTTTGCGTGCACTTCGATAGTTCCTTTATGTTAACATTTTGTATCGCGGTGAACACCCGGGGGGATATTGCCGTGTTGACCTGCATTTTCGTCGGCACTTTAATCACTTATTTGGGGAATTATCGGGGACAGTGAGACGGAATAAAACTGGGATGAATGGAGTACGTCCACTCTCATCACTCCATGGCCGCCGCCATGTTGAAAGAACGCTTGATGTGTGTGTCGTGTCAGCGTGTGGTTCTGGTTGCCGAGGAGATTAAGGGGTGAGAGGAACTGGGGCTGTTTACATCGGGACTTTAAGGAGTCACGAAGGCCATCGTTTTCTCGAAATTTACAAACAAATTTCCTGCTCAAAGTTATTACAACAGTATTTTTTGAACCCAAAATATCGATATAACAATAGTAAATACAAAAACAAAAATAAATGTAAAAATATCGATAACTTCACGGACGAAAAAATTTAATAGAAAAACCTATCGAATTCGTTGGAAAATTCTATTGAATTTTTATTGAACTGATCTATTAGTTTTTGGCCAATAGAATTTAATTTTTCTATATAACTTATTCTATTGAGATATTTTCTATAGAATTTCCTCGGCTCAAATTTTCTAAGTTTTTTCGTTTGATTTTCTTGATGAGAAGAATAGAAAAATGGAATGAAAAAACGTGGGAAATTATCAAATAGTATATTTCGTAACGAGTGCAAAAAAGTGTTTTTTGGCGAGTGGGAGGTTTATATCACGAGCCGAAGGCGAGTGATATAATCTCAGGAGCTAAAAAACATTTTTTCACGAGTTATGAACAATATTTTTCATCACAATGTGGCGGAAATTGGACTTTTAGGCACGCGGAGCGTGCGATTTAGTAGTTAAAAAAAAATTGCATTCTCTGTACACGCAAGAAATGTCATTTTTAGCACTACTCCTTCGATATTCGATACTCACATACGTATTTTGCTCCCGAAAAATCTTTGTTTCATGGGAAACAAGGGATAGCAGTTTTTCGTTTCGACTGTCTAATAATCACAGAAAAGAAAAAAACCCTTAAATGAAACAATAATAATGATATGATAGCAATCTTGTAACTTAGGGATAAAATATTTGTTGATAAATTTTCCTCTATATGAGATATTTTCATCCTGAAAAGGCACCGTCTAGTGTGAATTATCCGCCCCAGAGCAATTATTCATGTTTGAGACTTTCAAATTCGAACCAAACATATTCTTTTTTGGCAATTTTCAACTAGCGATTTTGTTGGCCCAAACAAGACTTGATTGACAACGTCTTTGTTTTTCTCTCAGTGTAGCTGCGCTTCATTTCTTGATAAACTTCATAAGAGTCTTCGTCAAATCAATTTTGTCACACCCTGCAGATTTTTCCACGTGTCCCACCAGAACTGCCACAATTTCCTCAAAAGTCATCGAGTTCACTCTGAATATCGAAAAAAGATTCGGAGCTCCACAAACTGCGTTTCAAAAGAAATGACCTCCACCCATAAACGCCGACAGGTTCAAGTCAACACTCGATAATCACTTGTTACCTCTAAAAAAAGTTCTGAATACTGCGAACCGAACATTCTCTCGAAAACAATTTTTATCTCCGAGTTAATTTCAGTTCGAGCCCCCAACCAAAGTCTACATTTCATTCGAATCCCTTATCACAGATTTATCACAGAGGACGTAAAATTCAACGAGAAGAATGTAAAATTGATTGATGCATCGAAATCATTTCTTATCGACGTTCTCGATATCAATGTACACAAGAAATAGTATTACCCGCTATAATTCCCAACTCGTGACTTGTTTTATCATAACGGGTCGTAGATTTATTTCTTTTCTCCCCCAAGTCTTTTGAGATGTCGTCAAAAGTATGTCTACTCACAGGCATATTCATTGGATCCTTCAGTGGAATATTTTATAAGACAATATTAACGCGTAACAACAGTCTAACGAGCGTCGCAGTGGAAGATTTTTATTAATTATTTTAAGCCCCTCGTGTACACTACAAACTGGGTAGAACCTGTTGATGACAATTACAGGGCATCAAACTGTCTGATCCCATTTTTCGCGCATTCTCGTGTGGCAATCAATCTCCAGTAGAAAAATTCATTGAGGAGGATTAACTATTCGAGTTTACATAAGTTATCTTGGTTATTTATTAGCGAATTATCTTTGTAAAGGGGAAGGGAGGTAAAATTGTCAAGTCGCCATTTTGTGTAACACTTTATCAGCTAAAAAAATGTCTTCCGATATTGTTCGATAATGTAATTTGTTTCTGAAGTACTAGAAGAAGTGGGGAATTTTGTTTTGTTTCCTACCTGGGCATATCGTTGCATCAGTACAGTGATAAACATTTCGCATTGTATCAATTATTCTTTAATTATGAAGATATTTTAATGGAGTGATCTCATTCATTCAAATTGTGCAGACACAATCGATCCTGCAGAAACTTTCAAACCGGATATGCAATTATTGTATTCAAACTCAATCGATCATGCTAAACCGAGTGGAAGAAACTGGATTGCGAATAGATTTTTTTCAAAGCGTTATCGGAAAATTGAATTGATCAACCTTGCCACTGTCCATCAGTTTAAATCCATAATTAATCGAGTAGAATATCTTAATAGTATCGTTCGAATGGAAATACATTTTGCTAATTGTCGATTCACATTCATACAGAAAAAATTCATTTCTTGCGCCAAATATCTTATTTCTTAAGGGTAAATCGCTTTGGGTGAGAATTCCGCATAAAGAGCCAGACAATGTCAGAATTCGGTGAAGTGTTCGTGACTTGAATATGAACACTTCAGGTACAGTGAGAATTTCTTGCCTCAAGAAATCGTTTTGTTCGTGTCGGAAAATGAGAAAATGACTAAAAGCTCCGACTGAATAAATGCCGAAGTCTTCTAAAAATCTTCCAATATTTTTTCACATTTTTTACTAAACCCGTTGATTCCCAAGATAATCCGATGTAAATAAAAATTCCTCTGGATTTTTCGTATTCTGCTATTCACTGTTAAAAAAAAATTGGCTGAATTTTCCGGAAAAAAACCTTGAATTTGATTTAAGGAGAAAAAGTCAATGGAATTGCTAGTTTCTCGGAAAATTCAAGTAAAGTTCCAATTTTTTAGCGGCAGGAAGACGGAAATTCCACAATTTACATGAATTTTCTCATAAAAATTAATATTGACTGCCAAATTCCCTTGAATTTACAGGAAATTCCTTTAAAATTCTTGGCATTCCAGTCATTTTTAAGGAGTTCCCTACAATTTCCGAAGAATCTGGAAGTCCCAGAGAGATTTCTCTAAATTTTCCTCATTTTTCACTAATTTTCCTGGAACAATTAAGCTGAAATTTACAGCTCCAACGAATTTTTCCACTAAATTGTGAACTTTTAGTGACAAAATTCCTTGAGATTCCAGTGGAAATGTAACTTGTCAGATGTTTCCAAGACTCTTACCGGAACATTTTAAAATTAATGTAAAATTTTTAACAGTGCTGTTGTCAAACTGATTTCTGCATTTCCAAAAAACACTTTCAATGTTTTTCCGGAGTCGTCTATTTTGCAAATAATGGGTTATGCACTTGTCTGTAGACACTCGGTATCAGTGATAAATGACATTACATTATGGGAAAATCCCTGCTGTCTGCTCTCGAATCTTCTTACTCAAATGGCGCATGTAATCCCCTGCATCATTGATGTGTTTGCACGGGTGTCAATTCGGGTTGAATAATTAAAAAAACCGTGCGACACGGAAATAAGTGGCTGAAAACAGTGGAGTGGAGTTGTGTTCCCACCCACTGACACCCAGGCTCGAATAATACCACTGCACCGAGTGTGCACACTCTTACTTGACAGTCAATCTTCGCTCATTTCAGTTGAGGCAGTGGTTTCAATACTGAAACTTATGTTCTTGTTGAGAAGTTGATGTTGCTGTAAAATTCATGTCACCTCGATAATTCAGTTCTGAGTGATAACAGTCGATTCTTTTAGTTTTTTACTCGTTTTTACCCGGGGGCGTGTATTAACATTTGTGTTAATTAATAAAAATCAAAGTGGTGAATTTCAGGGATTTTTTTTTGTCAACTGTATTCCATGAGTCCTCCACTAAAGAAACAAGGTATTTATTTTTGTGGATTGAATTTATCAGTGAAAATCTTGTGCACATCTTTTTTAACCCATTGATATTGTAATCACTAATTTTCTGGGGGTAAGTTGGTAGGGAAAAGGTAGAATCATTTGAGTTTTTATAAGTGGAGCGATATTTCTATGAAAATTTAGCACTAAATTCTACTTATCGTGAAGCGTACTAGTGATGCCGCGAGACATTTCACCAGACATCACGAGACAAAAAAACACGAAAAACTTGAGATCGAGACGAGGTAAATTGACTCGGAATCATCGCGAAAGGAGTCGATACTGCGTATTTCGAGACTGAGATGAGAGCAAAGATTTTCATCTTCATTGAGACCGAGATCATCTCTCCAAAGTTTTGTCTCGTAAAGTGTCTCGCGGCATCACTACAGCGTATGTACAAGCTTTTCGTATGAAAAAACTTGGTAGAAAGTTTTTCTCTTTTTCTGGGAAATTTTTCAAAATTTCTGTACAGAGAATAAAATTGTTTTGAAAAGACTAAATCTATTTTTGCGATAAAAATTGTGAAGGTCGGCGCGCGCTTCGCATGTTTGACTCTCAGTGGAATCGAGAAAAATAATAGAATTATTTCATAGAATTATGATAGAACTCCAATAGAATTCTTATAGACTTCCAATAGAAATTGAATAGAATCAGGGATCAGAAGAATCATCAATTTCAGAAGACAAAATGAGGTGAAAATAATTGGGAAAATTATTGCCGAGGCATTTAAATACAAAATATTTCAATAAAATGAATCGTATCAGAAAATTAAAATCAAATTATTTTTTCCATTTATTTGTTTTCAATAATTGTATTGAAAGAAAATTGAGAACTGAAATTATCCAACAGAATCGGTGTTTTTTGTACATTTTTTAAAATCCTGTAGACAAAAATGTTGAGTTTTTTTTTCATTCCGAGGAAAATATCCGAGAATGTATTTCCAGAGGGAAAAACCTCAGGCACCAGATTTTCTCGTGTAATTCCTAATGACCGAGACAATCCAAAAGAATTTCTTTACCTTCAATACTCATTAATAATGCTCCTTCTGTAAATAAATGTTCTAACAGCTGCATCACGATGTTACCTCGATAATACACCACCATGGATTAACCAGGAGGATCTCAAAGATATCTGTTCCACCTACGGTAATGGGATAATTTAACAATTACTCTGTTTTCACCCCTGTGCTTGTCCTCCTAATACCCAGCAATTGAATTGAATTTTCCAACTAATTTGCATGAGAAAAATTCCTAGAAGTTCGTACCTAATTAGTCCCACATTTTCCAAACCATATTTTGCAAAATATGAATATTTAATTTTTGTTTTTTTGTTATTTTTTTCAGCCAAATTTTTGAAAATTATTCTTTTAAATAATAGTCTCTCGTTTCATTAGAGAAATTGTGTGTTACAAAATTTTGACACTGACGGTAATTTTCATATTAAGCACACGATTTTTATCGATTTTTTAACATTTTCTAAGAATTTAATCTTCAAAATTACAGGCATGTTTATACTACTTGAATCCGGTGCTTTCCAGAGGTTCTTCACGCGGTGCAGAGCATTTCCCTTATCAATTTTCTCGATACCTAGCTCCGATTGCTGGTTTAAAATTTCTTCGGATGTGTCAATACATCTCTTCTAGTACAGAGCGAGAAAAATATTTTGTTATCAAACATGAATGACAAAAAACTTAGAGCTGAGAAAATTCTATAGAAAATATCTCAATAGATTAAGTTATATAGAAAAATCGGATTCTATTGACTTTTTATTGAATATTTCCTGAATATTATTTATTGAAGAAATATTATCTTTTTTTATGGAATAAATATTATTTAACAGTTCAACAGAATCGGCCAAAAACTAGTAGAAAGTTCAATAGAAAGTGAATTGTCCTATTCATTTTTTTCATCCGTGTTCATAAGGACTAACTTTTGGCTGGTATTGTCTCGAAATATGCCTTAAAACCTTGAGCGCAGTGCCACTCAGGCAAGTCAGATTGCGATCAGTCGATAAAGACTGAATATTATGGAATTTCACCAGCAACACTGGCACCCCTATGCCCGTAAACAATAGCGTGTTTACATTTTTTCCTTCGATAGTGCTCTCTGATTTTCGTGGCGTCTCTCTCAGTTGACCAACAATACTCAATCCACCTGATATGAGTCCGCGCCAGGAAATTTCCCTTTACAGTGAGTAAATTTAGAAATGGCAACGATCACTATCGACGATGAAGTTTCAATCGGTGATAACAGTATTTCTCATGTTTTTGCTTTCTCCGCGGATTGTTTGTTTTTTCAACGCCGATAAATTGCGCTAAGTGTTCAAGGCTCCGGACATTGTTGGCCAAGTGATTACGGAGTTGAGTGGAGGTTGAATACATCGTTGTGGAAGCAGCTAATGGATAATTAGCATGTAGTGGCGGATAATTTTATGTTTTATTGAGGATCTTCACGATGAATGGTGGTAGGAATAGTCCACGTGGGATAAAAATTATAGGAAAACCTAGCGAATTCGATAGAAAATTCTGCGGGATTTCTGTTGAAGCGTTCCGCAGCGTTTTTTTGCTCGAAAATTGTGACCAATTTGACTGTAGGAATGGTAATCGTGGAGCGAAATGTAGTTCAGTGAAAAAATACTGGTTTTAGCGGATATCTTGCGATTTTCTAGGTAAAAACATGCATCTACGGATGCAAACATGATAGGGGGGTGGTTGTTTTGTGGCAGTGTCTATTCACACGCTTCAAGGTAGATTTTCCGGATATACCGTACACTGAGAGAAAAACGACAAAGTTCTCAAACTAGTCTTACTTGTGTCAAGAAAATAGTTTTTTGAAAATTATCAAAAAAGAATTTTTTGTGCCAAACAAGCAGAGAGTGCGCCGGAATTGAAAATTTTTGTCGCAAAAATAGATTTAGTAGTTCAAAAAAAATTGCATTCTCTGTTCACGCAAGAAATGTCATTTCTAGCACTACTCCTTCGTTATTCGATAATCCCATACGTATTTTGCTCCCGGAAAATCTTTGTTTTATGCGAAACAAGGGATAGTAGTTTTTCGTTTCGGCTGTCTAATAATCACAAACAATAAATGAACCCTTAAATGAAACAATAATAAGGATATGATAGCAATCTTGTAACTTAGGGATAAAATATTTGTTGATAAATTTTCCTCTGTGAAATATTTTCATCCTGAAGACGCACCGTCTGGTGTGAATTATCCGCCTCTTGAGCCAAATATTTAATTGCTGCCGAAAGCAGAACAATTATTCATGTTTGAGACTTTCAAATTCGAACGGAACAAATTCTTTTTTGGCAATTTTCAACTAGCGATTTTGTTGGCCCAAACAAGACTTGTTTGACAACGTGTTTGTTTTTCTTTCAGTGTATATTTCTTGGATATACGGGAAATTTTCCCGTGGATTTAAGGTAGATGGGTATAAATATTATTTAATTCATCGATTTTTTATTTATTTTTGAATTTTACGACAATCGGTTCCACGATGACTGGAAAAATGTTCTGAATTGATTGAATGATAGCTTAAAAAATTTGTTTGGATGTCCTTTTGACTGATTTCGAAGATGAAGGCAATAGCAATAATCGTTATTTTAATTTATCTGACAATTTTCAAAAATTTTGTATTTTTTGAAAATCGAATTTCCGGGTGTAACTGGATATCATGCCTCAAATGAATTCAATAATAGCTCAAAATGTTCCTTTTACTGTCATTAAGTCAACGTTAAAAGATGATTAGGATATCTATATTCATTGATTTGAATTTTATGATGATTTTGAAAATTTCGAATTTTTTATGAATTTCTCTGATAATAAGCTTTCCGATGATTTCGTCGAATGTGATGTTTTAAATTCCTTCAAGTACGTAGAAATACAATTTTTTCATTACCATTTTATGATCTTTTATTATCTGATGGGAGAGATAGAACAGTAAAAAAGACAATCGGTTGTACAGAAGAAATGGATAATAAGAATAATAATGATGATAACATTCAACTAGAATAAAAATCTGACAAAATTAGTTGAAAAGAAATCTTATTCAATTTGATCAAATTAAATAAACAATGAATTATACATGATCGAAGGAAATGATGTGCAAAATAACCATTCGGAAGCATATTGCTAATTTATTAGCAAAATAACTATATACGATTCCGAACAAATCATTCTTATGGTGGAAAATTCATTGTTTATAAATTAATTATAGAAAATGTTCATAATTTCTGAAAATTTCCCCTTTTGAAATTATTTCATTAATCTTCCTCCAAAAGTAAACTACCTAATGTTTTTAGAGATTTTTAAAATGTTTTCTAACGCTTTAATGTTGAGATCCAACTCGCAAAGTTTAAATAATATAACCATTGCAAAATGTCCGGAAACTTAGGGTCAAATAGGGCTCAATTAAAGCTCTGATTTTCCACTGCAAAAATAGAAAAGCATTTCGCAGGAGAAAAAATAGCCAAAGTACTCGGATATCCTTAACCCTTCAGAACTCGCGCTCAGCCACCGACCTTCGTTACTCGCGTGGTGAGCGCTGCGCCGCCCGTGCTTTCAGTAACGCAGCGTTGTCACGTTCATAGGTACGCGCCGAGCGTGCGGCGAGCGGGAAACAGCAACAGCGGAATTGAAAATTTTACATCCTTCGTTACTCGCACTGGGCGGCACGGCGCCGCTTTTGCGTATGAGCCTCAACAATTTATTATTTTTCGTAGCCTTGATGGATTTTCAGCGGATAAGAACCTTGCTAATCCATTCTAAATGATTCAAGCTAGGCATTCTAATTTTTTCAATTTTTTGAAAGCTCAATTTTGCAAGAGGCAAGCGAAAATTTGAAAAAGGCGGCGCGGCGCTTATAGCGCGAGTTCTGAAGGGTTAAGCCATTGAAAACGTTTGGTTTGGTTCAACGGAAAACCGGTTGAATAACTGAAACCGGCAAATACTGAATGGAAATTCTTGTGGAATTTCAATATGCTTCTGTCACACGTGTAAAATCTCCGTTTAATACTTTCTGGTGACTCAACCTATAAAACCAGAATTTATGCTGATGCTCTAGTCAATATAAATCTCATTGTTAACTACACTTGTCCACTTATTTTGTCACTTCATTAAAATTCTTACAAGTTTTCTAGAATTGCTGAACGAATCATAACACAGTCGAGTGAAATGGGCACGAAAAATCGTGAAATCGACCAAGATAAATGATTAGTAGGTCGTGAATAATCGCAGGTTTCAACTTGAAGATAAATTTTCCTCTGTGTTTCATATTTACTAGATGGAACACGCGTTTGTCTATCACATCATATACTTGTGAGAAGTTTCCTTTTCTTCGTTTAAATTTTATGTGTTAAATGTCATATATGTAGGGGAGAGTGGGGCAAAGTGAAACCGTCGAAAAGTGACTGCTTGACGCAATTTAAACAAAAAAAAATGTAAAAAAATTAATGTTTCAAAATTTTTCATTTTTTTTATATGAAAATTTGGTCGAGAAGTTACTAAAATAATCTATTTCGATACAAGTGCGACGGGTTTTTTCACAAGTCTTTCACCATTTTCCGATATTGTTAATCTATTCGAGATGAATTTTATGACTGAAGTCTTCGAATTAACCTCATTACACTTGTTGATCTCCCATTTCAACATTGCAAATTGTGATGAGATGATAATGTATTTGATATCAGATAAGCGCTATCGATACATAATCATTCCATTTTTGCATATTGGATGATAAAAGGCTGATGCAAGAGCTGCTGGGCGTGGAAAGTCTGGTGCACTTAGCAATTGAAATTCAATTAATTAATTATCATTAGTGGAGTGATGGAATGAAACGGATCTGATGGATTTGGATTATTTCAAAAATCTTCGAAACTAGGGAGTTTGAGGGAAAAATTTTAGATACAATATCGATTTTAAATGGTCGCAAAGTTCAGTCAAATTCAATCCTCAACACGCGATTTTCGGGAGTCTTAAATTGAGAGAATAAGTCTGAAACTGAAAATTTTCGTTTTTTTTTCGTTTCAATGGCTAAATATTTCCGTTTGGTACATTCTTCCTATTATCCTGTGCGACAGAACAACCTGCACCTTAGATTATTCATCCTGACGATTGAATAATTCAATCACCAATTTGATTCCAAAAGGTTTTCGTAACTCATGAAATTCTCTGCACGAAAGGTGATTAAAAAATTATCTCCAACCTCAAAGTATTCTGCCCGAAGATATAAAATGGATTGCCACCGGCTCTCTGATTAATCTCCGCTGTTTCTCAACACTTCATTATCACGTTGTCAAGGAAATTACCACGACGATAATGAACCAACAATGATTAATCATTGACGACTCTATTTCTTTGTCCTCTCGATTTACCAATGATCTTCTTCACATTCGGCCATTCAACTCTCATTGGTTTCTCAGTACAAGATAGTTAATAACTTACCTATAATCAAGAATAGACATATTGTGTAATTGTTTCCTTCATTGGAATCCTCTCAACATTTGTAATGACATACACTGAGGGAATATTTTTTTCTGAGAATCACGTCTTTACTTGTTTCAAGAAATTCATGTACGGAGAGAAAAGTTGATTAAGAATTTATTACACCCTTTTCGCCAAAATTCACGTTTTTGGAATTTTTCCGGTAAATTGATGATCAGATTGAAAAAATTTGAGGCAAAGGATAAACTTTCCCTTTTGCAACGTAATTTTCTGGAAACGAACAGTAAAAGTTGGGAGCTATCGGTCAAAAAATATGCGAAAAACGGACAAATTTGCCCTCATTATCATCGATTTTTACCGTTCAGTAATTCTTACAGAATTTCCCTAGCAATTTTTACGTTGCTTTTTTTCGCGGATATGAATGTAAAATAGAACTGACAATGACGCATCAACACTCGTAAACAGGTTCTGATAATAATGATAAGACAACAACAGAGTTAATGCTCAGACCGGCGCTCTTTATTATTCATCGAAATTCATTGTAAATACTATACCTCATAGATGCATTTATTCAATCATGAAACACCACAAGTTTCACGATATTCAAGGACAGTTATCATCGATTCTCCCACTGACGCATGTGATTCCTTCCGCAAGACCTCGTCCACGCGATGGATCCTGGATTCGTTGCACATATCCGTTAAAGTCATTCATGTAACGATAATTGTTCAATCGTTCAATTACAGATGAGGTCACTAAAAATGAACACGAGGGTCCCGTTGATTTTGAACGCGCTATCAGTTTAACTGGATATGGAAAATTCAATTATCTGCTGTTGCTGGCTATTCTGCCAGCTGGATGGGCCAGTATCTATGGATCCACGTCAATGTCCTATGTTCTACCGTCGGCTGAGTGCGATCTCAGTCTCACCATGTTTGATAAGGGATTACTCAATTCCATGCCATTTGCAGGTAATCATTTATTTTATTATGCGGATTTTTGTTGATGAGTTGGTGGAGAATTGGGAGAATGAGGTGACTTTCTATTCCGGAATCCGGAATATTTTATCCTCAATTCCGGAATAATATTCCGGGGACCTCCTCGCATTGAAATATTGGACGTTGCGTCTATAAGAGATGGCATGTACTGACGACGCGCCGTCCGGATTTAAGTGAGATCGGGCAATAATCACGAGGACCACTCAGGGAAGTATTTTCATACGTTCTTTCTCCGCGGATTCGCCCTTTCGGCTGGCAATTGGGGCTTTTGCGAATTATTAGTGGGTTTCAAGGGGCCCTTGGTCGTATTGTGGGACATTCTTTCGGGATTTTTGAATTATTATTGCCACCAGCAACCTCCTGTACAGTTTGAAGTTGCTGAGAGGCCATTGAGCTCCTCACTCTGAGGACTGATCCGAGTCACTACACGAGGTGGAGCTTTGGGAGGCCCCAAACTTGCACTTCGTCACAGTATAATTGTGTCACTTTTTTCTTTTCCTTTCCTCTCCTTTTCCTCTTCCCTTCGAGTCACCAATTTGACGTACACTGTCATCCAGAGAATGAATTTATCCCAATACACTGAGAGAAAAAATTGGCTCTGCCGAAAAGATAAATGTTCACCTGTACAAAATTTTCTTGTCTTAAGATTATTATTCCCAACGAGAAAATATTCTGCAGCGAAAAATTGATTCTTTCCACTGGAAAATCTGGCAATTGCGTATGAATTATGTATTCTTTCAAGTAGAATGCCAGGATTCAAATATCATGAGAAATATCAATAATCTTGATATTTTTGAGCGGAACAAATATATCTTCGGCACTGCAATTTTTTTCTCTCAGTTTACCGACTGAGAATCCATTTGAATATTAAATATGCCGGATTCCGGAATATCATTCCGGAATTGAGGATAAAATATCCAATTCCGCAGTATCATTCCGGGTTCCAGAATATAAGATCCAGTAATGGCCATCAATCATTGAATTTTTCAATATTAAGAGAATTTGAACCTCACATTGATTAAGATTTCCATATAATCATTGAAATTTAACAATGGTAAAATAATTGATAATCTAAATTTCCGATTGAAGACGAATTCCATAATTGATAATATGGAATTGTCTATTGAGTAAATAATACTAAATTCCATAAAAAGGTTTTTCGATTGACCAAATAATCGTCAATCGTCCGAACTAAATGAATAATTGATAAAATAATTCGGAATTGGAATATTTAATTGATGATCACTTTAATAATTAAAAATTGTAGAGTAATATTAACGAATGGACGAGTTCCAAATTTAACTGTAATTCTAATTTATGATTATGGCTATCTCCAACAAGATCCCGAAATCTGGAAAACAGATATTCCTGATTCCGGAATATTACATACTCGATTCAGAGATATTTTCTTTTCCCTGAATACTTGGGATGTGCAAAAAAATTTTTTTTTCATATGACGAATTTGGGAAATTATTGACGAAATTATTGACTGACCGTCAAAAAAATGTTGACGAAAAGTACATAGTTCTTTGATTTTATAGAATTTGCTGTTCTCACTCCTCGATGATGCCCTTTTCATGCCATAAATCTTATGCAACCGGCAATTCCCTCTACATAGCAGTAAAAATGCTACTCGATATTTGATATTCCATGATAGTCTCCCAATTTTGTAACTTTTTTTGTGATATCGATTCTCTGTGACTGTCATATCCCACCTAAATAGCGGAAATAATGTGATATTAATATTGATGAACTTCACAGGCATGATTGTAACTGCCTTCTTCTGGGGCTTTCTGACTGACACATACGGACGTAAGAAGGTATTAACATATGGGTACCTTACGACTTCGATATTCAGCTTTGCTAGCTGCATGTCCCATGCCTCCTGGCTACTCATTTTATTCAAATTCATCAATGGCATATTGTGAGTTTAATTGGTGTTTTGACACTTGGCTCGAGGGCGGGTGATTCAGTTTCTGTTTGTGAGTTTATTCAACGGATTTATTACTAGGATATCCGGCCCTTACACAGCACTGATGTCATACCTCGCTGAGGTACATGGCGAGCAACAAAGGTCGAGGATCTACATGTGGCTGGGGGTGTTTTTCTCACTGGGTCACATATCGATACCATGTGAGTACGAATGTATTCTTTCTCAATCGCTAGTTTTTCGGTCTATTTCATCACAAGTTTTTCTACGAAATTTTTCAATACACTCGAGACTTCAGATAAGATACCTCGAGGCCGACCCCCACTCTCGGCACTTTTATCGCCTCCCGAATGTTCAGTTCCGTGAGCTTCTTATACGATCCCTATGGCCTCGATAATTTTTCAGCGGGAAAGGGAGTTAAGGGCCATGCGAAAGGGACGATCGACGTGATATTATTATTAGAATAATGACGCAGAATTATCTTAATAGAATAAAGCCTAATTAAAATTCAATTAATTTACGTATTTTCAATAATTTGTTTCTCATTTAAAAAATTGATGTCACCTTTTGTGTCAGCAATCTAGTTCGCCAGGGATATCCTTAAGCTTAAGAACAAGGATAATCTTTGCACAGAATCCTAGATTATACAAATTTTTTTTTGTCCTTCGGAAATGAATATTTCAATCCTCTTGGAATATCTCAATTATTGATTGATAAAAAATTGATAATTACGTCTTCGACATAAATATTTTTGTCAAGAAAAGTGAATTTTAAATAAACGTTACTATGAGTACCTTCAAAAAAAGAAAAATAATCAAAACCTGATAACCAATAATCGCCAACAATTATTAATAAATGGACTTTGTTCTAAATATCTTATGGGGCAATTTTACTATTTCATGAGATGAAGCAATTACTTATTGTCCAAAATAATATGATTTTAGCTGCAATAGATCGTGATTAAAATATGAGATTGAAATATATGTTCATCAAACTACTTTGATTTCCTTATTTAGTATTCATTTTATTACGATTCATTTATAAATTCAATAAAACACTCAGTCGAGCATGCGCGCGCGATCCTTTTCTAATTAGAGAAATGTTCAAACGCATTCAAAACATTCAACTCGTATTAATTATCATAATTAGTTATCAATATCCATTCAGTAAAAATGTATATTCCATCGAATTCGGGCGCGACGAGTGAGGTATCTTATATAAAGCCTGAACTGTACGTGGAATAATTCACCCTAAAATTGAATTCCCCAGGCTTAGCATGGATAATTATTCCGCAAGAATTTCGCCTACCGATGTTCAACGGTTCAATGGATTTCACCTCCTGGCGTCTCTTCCTGGCCATCTGCGCCCTCCCCGAATTCACCGCCTTCGTCGTGCTGTCCTTGTTCCCCGAGTCACCTCGATTTCTCCTATCAAAGGGTCGAGACGACGAAGCACTCGAGGTCTTTCGTCATATCTACTCCCTCAATACAGGAAAAAATCCCGACACTTACGCGGTAAGTATCAGCAATTTTGTCCCACTTTGGTGGGGTTTTTTGAATTTGAACTACGGTACCCGTCTCGGACGGGATCACCTGACGTTCCTATTTCTTTCTATCTCAGCTCAATTTGAGACGAGTACTCAGTGATGTGTTTCACTGTTGAGAGAATACCTCATCACCCCCCAATGATCACTCAGTGTGTGTGCCCCTACCATGGCTTGGCAATGTGATCCTAAGATGTCTCTCAAACAGGTAGTAAACCGGGAATGATGCTGCCTATTATCACTACTTTCTCCTATTTTTTTTTACTCTGCTGGAGAGTTTGGATTTTTTCTAATCGCTGTTTGATGGGTATCCAGGTGAAATGTGTGACTGATGAGAGTTACGTTAAGACCCATGGGACGAGTCTTCTCAACAAGTTTCAGGGGGGATGGTTGCACATGAAGCCACTGTTTACCTCACCCTATTGCTACAGGTTGATACTCATTGGGATGATACAGTTTGGCGCTACCATTGGGTGAGTCGAGGATTTTTTTTTTATTCCGCCCAATTTTTTAGTTTTTCGCGGACGAAAAAAATTTCATGACAAACGTAGCGCATTCGAAATGAAATGGTATGTTTCATTTCGTTGACAATTTTTTGTTGAAAGTTTTCGGACTAAATTTATCACACATGGGTAGGAAGTAATTTACATCAGACGGCATTATAAAATTATCATACTGTTTTCCTCATACGGTTTGAGAATTTTCTTACACTAGTATTAGAATTCTATCAGACGGGAGTATAAGAATTTGTGCTTCTTGAAGGATTATTTTTCCATACAGGCGAAACAAGCTTAGAATAGCGGGTTATCGGGCCCAGTGTCATAAATTGATAGGGGAGAATGGGGTAAAACGGCTCCTTTTGATTTTTTCAAAAATGTTGAGAGCTCATTCAATTCTAAATAAAATGAAACATTTTTTTCCCTGGAAACTACACTTCTTCCCCGTTAGAGTGAGCCTAGACTGGTCTCAATTAATGAATTCGTTTCTGAGTTATGAGCATCACAAAAAAAGTGAAATGGGGCCGTTTTACCCCATTTAGCCCTTTCTGGCCGAACTCAAGGAATTAAATGTTCGGGAAACCCTTACTCTTCTGTTGGAGGCGGAGCTAGGAAAGAGATAAATAGAGAGAAGGAATCTGCCTGTTTCACTCTCGCACGCCGAGTAATTTTACTGCGCAGTCCCGTCGCGCAGAGGGACACACAGATTTACTTAAACACATTTACGGTGGCGATGGTGGGGGAAGTCAACTTCTCCGACTGAAATGTTAGGGAGTAACCACTGTATAAAATGACCATTCGGAAGCATATTTCTAATTTATTAGGAAAAAATAGCTATGCTATGTGAAGACAAAAGCAATTTCCCTCTTGCATTGTGTTTCAGGTCAAATACTCTGAGGCTCTGGATGCCTCAGTTATTCGCCATGATCGAGACCTACGAAGCTAGTCATCCAGTTGGAAGTGACGAACAGTTTCCATCGATCTGCGTTATGCTCGAACTTACCAACACAACTGTTGACACTATTAATAAACATAATTTAATTAATAACACTATTGAGGTGGAAAAAATTTGTACACCGGTGAGTTGTCGAGTTCCGACTCTCAAGGGAGTAGAACAGATGGATGGTATGAATTACGAAAAAGGAATAATACCGAAATTCTCAAACGAAGACATGAAGAAAATTTAAGTCAACAATGAAATCTCCAAATATTTTGAAAAGGAATGATTTTGCAGAGAAATCTCAAGACACATTTTTTAACCGATACGATTGCCTACAGAAAATTCCTCTCGATGATTCTTCCTGTCATCCCCTCACATTCGGATGTGAGGAACGTCAATGGAAAATCTGAATAGAAATTCTGTTATTTCAAAATAAAATTTTTTTCTTCAATTTTGTTATGAGGAACAAATAAAAAAACAGCGGAAAAAACTTGGAAAATTTACGCCCCAGAATTTCAATAGACAGATCACGATCTATTGACTTTTTATATAATATAAAAAATTACTAGGCAATATTGCATAGTCTTCTATAAAAATGCCGCAAAAACGAATAGAATTTTTAAATAAAATTCTAATAGAACTTTAAGAGAATCTTTATAGAGTTCCGTAGAATCTCTTAGACAATACGGTTTTCTATTTAATTTTGTTATTGAGTTTTCCATAAAAATCCGTAAAAAGTTGATAAAATTACGGGATTAGATGAGATTTACCATTTTCTCATGTATTTATCCATTCAATTTTCACTTTTAAAAACGACCACGACAGTCGTCCTTTGGAGAACATAATTTCTGATTCATGAATATTCTTTCAACGTAATACTATTCATTACCTGCTTCAGACCCCCGAAAATTCTGTTGAATTATTCATTAATTATTTTCCACATATTGAATAATCACTCAGGTTATTCTGAACTCTACTGTGTACCTGAATTCAATAGTCATCGCCGTGACAGGAGTCGTTGGATATGCTCTGGCTGGATCATTGATCAATTGCGCGGGGAAGAAGAAATTAATGAGTGAGTAATGAAGACGTAATTATACATTATCATTGTTTTATGATATCCTTCGATATTCCATCATTTCGATGAAATGGAAAGGAAGGTGATATATCACTCAAGTCTTGAAATAATTTCAATCTGCATAATTATGCGAAATATTCTACCAAAATTGCACTTTTCAGGCAGGTATCACAAAAAATTCCATTCTAATGTAAAATATACGTTATTTATCATAGTATATTCTGATATAAGTGCGTGAAAGTTTTTTTCATCACACTTTCTGTTAACGGCGTTTAACTATTTATTACCTGCTTCAGACAGAAAACGTTTCGCCAATGACTTTTATTTTTCGGAAGAGAATTTTAAAAATGGAGTTTTTTCATAAAAATTTCAAAATCATCCAATTTTGTCATCAATTATCGCAATATGGATAAGTATAAATATCCCTTTTTTTTCGATTCCTGCAGTGTTTTGCTTTCTCTCTGCCGCCCTGTGCTGTGGAATTCTGTATTGGGCTGAGAATTCCAGTGGAATTTTGGGTATTTCGTCAGTATTCGTGGCGTTATCTAGTATTGGTGGAGCCGCTGTTACGAATGTTATTGTTGATAATTTCCCTACTACGTTAAGGTGAGAGTACAATCTGGGCTTCTACCACGTGACGTTGAATGATGCCATTCTATTGATTGGAATTTTGACTATAATGGAAAAAAATTAATGTAACTGGAGAAAATTCATCTTTTCTTCCTTAGTGTAGAGTGCAAAATATCTAAAATGAAATTTCGTTACGATTAGTCGAGCTTTTCAGTGATTTTACGTCAAATGTTTTCTCCTTGCGAGATGTCCGCCATCAATTTCGAATTCCAAAATCCCCGAAGTGGATTTACGTATCTCATTTGATGACAACTTAACAAAATTGGGTTTTATGTTGATTTTTCCAGGGCTATGGCTATTGCAATGATGATGATGATGGGGAGAATAGGCGCCGTTATTGGGAATTTACTTTTCCCATTACTCTTCAAATTGAGCTGTTTAGGACCTTTCTTCATGATTGGAATGGCCTGTTTAGGTACTTTTTCATTTATTCTGAATTTTTTTAAATAAATTGAAATACAGAGTGACCCAAGAGCATACGAGCGAAGTGAATTTTATGTCTAATGTTCCCGCCAGAATAGTCTTTTTGACACTACTGCTTTTTATTTACTCGTAAAAGAAAATTAAAGAATGAAAAAAAATAAAGAATTCGTGATGATGAATTAAAAATTTTTCATTTCAGTTTGCGCGATGCTCGTGTTCTTCATACCCGCCAAAAAATCGGACTTCAAGGAGTCGATAGAGTCCGCCTAAACTAGAATAAGAAATATACAATTCTCATTAGTTAGAATAACAAATCAACAACACAAAACTTCTCGAAAGTGAATTGTAAATAACTGTGCTTTAATTTTTAAGTGTGAGTCTAGGAATTTGATATTTTTGGATCTCTAAACATTAGAACTAATGTATTTATAACTTATTTCGTACATTAATGTGAGGAAAGTATTTTATGATTTATGAAAGTGTGTATGGCTTTTGTTGATAATTCTTTCTTACAAAATAAATAAGTGTACCAAAAAAATTAACTTCGTGAATTGCAGTATTTTTTACTCGATCAATCATAAGAAAAAACCAGGTGCCACGGCTGTTCCAGTGGAACACGTCCACTTTACGCGTTAATAATTACTCATCGCAGTGTTATCAGTATTCGCCAGGTACCAGCAGATGGACGGCTCAGAATTGCGTTTTTCCACTTCCTACAGCCTGTACAAGATAAATTAAATTAATTTTTTTTGGCACTTTCGTTTTTCGCGATTATCTCGGAAACTATGGGAGATAGAGCCTTAAAACCAAATTTGGGTCCCCTATAGGAAGATGGACGGCTCAGAATAGCATTTTTCCACTTCCTACGCCCTATACAAGGAGGATTAAATTAATTTTTTTTGGCACTTTCGTTTTTCGCGATTATCTCGGAAACTATGGGAGATAGAGCCTTAAAACCAAATTTGGGTCCCCTATACGCAGATGGACGGCGCAGAATTGCATTTTTCCACTTCCTACACCCTATACAAGGAGAATTAAATTAATTTTTTTTGGCCCTTTCGTTTTTCGCGATTATCTCGGAAACTATGGGAGATAGAGCCTTAAAACCAAATTTGGGTCCCCTATACGCAGATGGACGGCGCAGAATTGCATTTTTCCACTTCCTACACCCTATACAAGGAGAATTAAATTAATTTTTTTTGGCCCTTTCGTTTTTCGCGATTATCTCGGAAACTATGGGAGATAGAGCCTTAAAACCAAATTTGGGTCCCCTATACGCAGATGGACGGCGCAGAATTGCATTTTTCCACTTCCTACACCCTATACAAGGAGAATTAAATTAATTTTTTTTGGCCCTTTCGTTTTTCGCGATTATCTCGGAAACTATGGGAGATAGAGCCTTAAAACCAAATTTGGGTCCCCTATACGCAGATGGACGGCGCAGAATTGCATTTTTCCACTTCCTACACCCTATACAAGGAGAATTAAATTAATTTTTTTTGGCCCTTTCGTTTTTCGCGATTATCTCGGAAACTATGGGAGATAGAGCCTTAAAACCAAATTTGGGTCCCCTATACGCAGATGGACGGCGCAGAATTGCATTTTTCCACTTCCTACACCCTATACAAGGAGAATTAAATTAATTTTTTTTGGCCCTTTCGTTTTTCGCGATTATCTCGGAAACTATGGGAGATAGAGCCTTAAAACCAAATTTGGGTCCCCTATACGCAGATGGACGGCGCAGAATTGCATTTTTCCACTTCCTACACCCTATACAAGGAGAATTAAATTAATTTTTTTTGGCCCTTTCGTTTTTCGCGATTATCTCGGAAACTATGGGAGATAGAGCCTTAAAACCAAATTTGGGTCCCCTATACGCAGATGGACGGCGCAGAATTGCATTTTTCCACTTCCTACACCCTATACAAGGAGAATTAAATTAATTTTTTTTGGCCCTTTCGTTTTTCGCGATTATCTCGGAAACTATGGGAGATAGAGCCTTAAAACCAAATTTGGGTCCCCTATACGCAGATGGACGGCGCAGAATTGCATTTTTCCACTTCCTACACCCTATACAAGGAGAATTAAATTAATTTTTTTTGGCCCTTTCGTTTTTCGCGATTATCTCGGAAACTATGGGAGATAGAGCCTTAAAACCAAATTTGGGTCCCCTATACGCAGATGGACGGCGCAGAATTGCATTTTTCCACTTCCTACACCCTATACAAGGAGAATTAAATTAATTTTTTTTGGCCCTTTCGTTTTTCGCGATTATCTCGGAAACTATGGGAGATAGAGCCTTAAAACCAAATTTGGGTCCCCTATACGCAGATGGACGGCGCAGAATTGCATTTTTCCACTTCCTACACCCTATACAAGGAGAATTAAATTAATTTTTTTTGGCCCTTTCGTTTTTCGCGATTATCTCGGAAACTATGGGAGATAGAGCCTTAAAACCAAATTTGGGTCCCCTATACGCAGATGGACGGCGCAGAATTGCATTTTTCCACTTCCTACACCCTATACAAGGAGAATTAAATTAATTTTTTTTGGCCCTTTCGTTTTTCGCGATTATCTCGGAAACTATGGGAGATAGAGCCTTAAAACCAAATTTGGGTCCCCTATACGCAGATGGACGGCGCAGAATTGCATTTTTCCACTTCCTACACCCTATACAAGGAGAATTAAATTAATTTTTTTTGGCCCTTTCGTTTTTCGCGATTATCTCGGAAACTATGGGAGATAGAGCCTTAAAACCAAATTTGGGTCCCCTATACGCAGATGGACGGCGCAGAATTGCATTTTTCCACTTCCTACACCCTATACAAGGAGAATTAAATTAATTTTTTTTGGCCCTTTCGTTTTTCGCGATTATCTCGGAAACTATGGGAGATAGAGCCTTAAAACCAAATTTGGGTCCCCTATACGCAGATGGACGGCGCAGAATTGCATTTTTCCACTTCCTACACCCTATACAAGGAGAATTAAATTAATTTTTTTTGGCCCTTTCGTTTTTCGCGATTATCTCGGAAACTATGGGAGATAGAGCCTTAAAACCAAATTTGGGTCCCCTATACGCAGATGGACGGCGCAGAATTGCATTTTTCCACTTCCTACACCCTATACAAGGAGAATTAAATTAATTTTTTTTGGCCCTTTCGTTTTTCGCGATTATCTCGGAAACTATGGGAGATAGAGCCTTAAAACCAAATTTGGGTCCCCTATACGCAGATGGACGGCGCAGAATTGCATTTTTCCACTTCCTACACCCTATACAAGGAGAATTAAATTAATTTTTTTTGGCCCTTTCGTTTTTCGCGATTATCTCGGAAACTATGGGAGATAGAGCCTTAAAACCAAATTTGGGTCCCCTATACGCAGATGGACGGCGCAGAATTGCATTTTTCCACTTCCTACACCCTATACAAGGAGAATTAAATTAATTTTTTTTGGCCCTTTCGTTTTTCGCGATTATCTCGGAAACTATGGGAGATAGAGCCTTAAAACCAAATTTGGGTCCCCTATACGCAGATGGACGGCGCAGAATTGCATTTTTCCACTTCCTACACCCTATACAAGGAGAATTAAATTAATTTTTTTTGGCCCTTTCGTTTTTCGCGATTATCTCGGAAACTATGGGAGATAGAGCCTTAAAACCAAATTTGGGTCCCCTATACGCAGATGGACGGCGCAGAATTGCATTTTTCCACTTCCTACACCCTATACAAGGAGAATTAAATTAATTTTTTTTGGCCCTTTCGTTTTTCGCGATTATCTCGGAAACTATGGGAGATAGAGCCTTAAAACCAAATTTGGGTCCCCTATACGCAGATGGACGGCGCAGAATTGCATTTTTCCACTTCCTACACCCTATACAAGGAGAATTAAATTAATTTTTTTTGGCCCTTTCGTTTTTCGCGATTATCTCGGAAACTATGGGAGATAGAGCCTTAAAACCAAATTTGGGTCCCCTATACGCAGATGGACGGCGCAGAATTGCATTTTTCCACTTCCTACACCCTATACAAGGAGAATTAAATTAATTTTTTTTGGCCCTTTCGTTTTTCGCGATTATCTCGGAAACTATGGGAGATAGAGCCTTAAAACCAAATTTGGGTCCCCTATACGCAGATGGACGGCGCAGAATTGCATTTTTCCACTTCCTACACCCTATACAAGGAGAATTAAATTAATTTTTTTTGGCCCTTTCGTTTTTCGCGATTATCTCGGAAACTATGGGAGATAGAGCCTTAAAACCAAATTTGGGTCCCCTATACGCAGATGGACGGCGCAGAATTGCATTTTTCCACTTCCTACACCCTATACAAGGAGAATTAAATTAATTTTTTTTGGCCCTTTCGTTTTTCGCGATTATCTCGGAAACTATGAGAGATAGAGCCTTAAAACCTATTCCATTCGATTCCTGAGGAAATTTGGGTGCCGTATAGGCAGATGGACGGCTCAGAATTGCGTTTTTCCACTCCCTACACCCCATAAAACATAAATTAAATGAATTTTTTTTGGCGTTTTCGTTTTTCACGATTATCTCAGAAACTATGAGAGCTAGAGCCTTAAAGCCTATTCCATTCGATTCCTGAGAAAACTTGGGTTCTCTGTAGGCAGATGGATGGCTCAGAATTGCTTTTTTCCACTCCCTACACCCCATAAAAGATAAATTAGATTAATTTTTTTTAGCGTTTTGGTTTTTCGCGATTATCTCGGAAACTATGAGAGATAGAGCCTTAAAACCTATTCCATTCGATTCGCTTTCAATTGAAACCCCAAGTTGAAGACCCCAGTTTGTAGCAGAGATGTCAGATAAGATATGAATGTTTTTTTGGGCTCAAATGAAAGAGCGGCTCGAGAAATGGCGTGCTAATGTCTCTGAACATGATAAATGCCTCTAAAGATGATGTCTGTTTTCAATTGAAAAGCAGAGTTGCGACAGCATTGTCTAGTGGGTCCTAGGGGTCTTCCTTGGTTCCAAACCATCTTTAGAGGCATCAGTATACTAAAGACCCTATGAGAATAATCCTGACTGGGTACCCCCACTTTTTCAAGTCGAGGCATGCGTCCCTCACCACTCAAACCTGCGACCACTCTCATAAGGTTCTCAGTATACACCATTTCGCGACCCAGAAAAAATCGCCAGCAATTTCCAACAGGATGAGGCTCAGCCGTTGACTCAAAATTAAACATTGAAATCTTTCTTTTACAATTCCATTAATTACTCTTCGATAAAATTATATAAATTCGCAGCAAGTTTATTTGTATTTTCAATTTTATTAAACCATTCAATGATATTAGATTGTTGTCTCAATTCAAATGAGACTGCGCTATGCAGTGTCAATTCCAGAGTCTACTTGGGATACATATGCGTGTAATTAACAGTGAACACCCGGCAGAATCGCGGACCTTGTTAGACGATCATTTGTGCTCTTGTAGGACACCTGGCGCCATCCATAACTAATATCGACTGCAAATAAAACGAATGCAATTTCTACTCTACCGACACTGTTTGGCCGACTGCAAGGATGGCGAACAGATGTGGTTATGGTCAGTTTTTTTTATGTTCAGTCGAATTAATGTACAGTTTCAACGGAGCCCCCCCCCCTGTTGTCAGCTGTCAGAGAGCAACGATAGCCTCAACATCTGCTCACACGGTAATTCCCCGGGCACTTTCACACGCATACTCGTGTACACACGAGCAACAGGGTCTCCGGATTAGAAAAAAGAGGTGTGGGCGATCGGTAGTGGTGTGCATCGTCCGAACGTCAAAATAAAACGCTATAACAGAGTCATGTCAAGTGGAATACGTTGACAAACACTCAGCTCACTGTTTTTTTTTCGTTAACAATAATCTCCCGACTGCTGCAGTGTTTATGCCGTCAGTGGGGTAGATGTTCGAGGGAGTTTGGCGTTTGTTAATACGTAAATAATGGCTGAAATATTCCACAACGGCAATTATCAGATAGTGCCGAATTCGAACGACATGACTACCTTGGATATACAAAAGGAGGTGGGTATTTGTGATTGGGTAGTCCTTAGTTGAGTGTAACTTTGCTGGCAAATCGATATGACAAGTTTTCACGGTGAAATATTAATGAATGCTCCAATGACCTAATTGACATGATAGTATTCAATTCATTGAGGTTTATTACCGTAGTGCATGAGTTATTGACACTTCCACAGTGTGCGACACGTTCAGCGGTAATTCATTGATGGTAGTCTGTTCATTCTTTAGGGAAAATAATCGAAATTGGTTTTTGGAAATAATTTTTGCGGAATTATAGTTCGTTGTTCGTAGTGAGTGAGAGTAGGTACATCACGCATGGAAAAATTTAATAGAACCTAGCGTTTCTCTCAGTGATTTCTATTGAGTTTGTATTGAGAAGCTGTGAGAATTCTATTAGAATTCTGTTTAAAAATTCTATTGGTTTTTGGCGTCAATTCTGTTGAAGATTTACAACTTTACTGGCGTATTTTGTTGATAGCCAGTACAAAAAATTCAATAGATCTTGGGTTTTCTGTAGAAATTCTTGAGAATAAAATTTTTTATATTTTTCTAGGGAATTTATATTTTTTTTGTCATAATAAAATTCAAGAAAGAAAATTGGAAAATTTTGGGAAGAATAATTGTTTGGCATGACTATAGACTGATTAGACTATAGACTGATTGAATAGGTAATTTTTCTTAAGGAAAAAAATCCTGACGGAGTGAAGTATGTAGAAAAATCAACATACTTTGTTCTATAACGTAATATCTATTTGAAACCGCCTCGGAGTGTTGTATAATTTTTTATAGAATTGGTGGAAAGAACGGATGAAATTTTTCAATTGAATTGTTGTAGGGTTCCAATAGAAATTTATTCGAATTTCTTGCTGAAAGTTCCGAGTTTTTCAATTGAATTTTTTCATTGGTGTCTCAAGTATATTTGTTTGGCATGAATGCATTATTTTAGTGCATGAGTTATTGACACTTTCACAGTGTGCGACACGTTCAGCGGTAATTCATTGATGGTAGTCTGTTCATTCTTTAGGGAAAATAATCGAAATTGGTTTTTGGAAATAATTTTTGCGGAATTATAGTTCCTTGTTCGTAGTGAGTGAGAGTAGGTACATCACGCATGGAAAAATTTAATAGAACCTAGCGTTTCTCTCAGTGATTTCTATTGAGTTCGTATTGAGAAGCTGTGAGAATTCTATTAGAATTCTGTTTAAAAATTCTATTGGTTTTTGGCGTCAATTCTGTTGAAGATTTACAACTTTACTGTCGTATTTTGTTGATAGCCAGTACAAAAAATTCAATAGATCTTGGGTTTTCTGTAGAAATTCTTGGGAATAAAATTTGTTTATTTTTCTAGGGAATTTATATTTTTTTTGTCATAATAAAATTCAAGAAAGAAAATTGGAAAATTTTGGGAAGAATAATTCTTAAGGAAAAAAATCCTGACGGAGTGAAGTATGTAGAAAAATCAACATACTTTGTTCTATAACGTAATATCTATTTCAAACCGCCTCGGAGTGTTGTATAATTTTTTATAGAATTGGTGGAAAGAACGGATGAAATTTTTCAATTGAATTGTTGTAGGGTTCCAATAGAAATTTATTCGAATTTCTTGCTGAAAGTTCCGAGTTTTTCAATTGAATTTTTTCATTGGTGTCTCAAGTATATTTGTTTGGCATGAATGCATTATTTTAGTGCATGAGTTATTGACACTTTCACAGTGTGCGACACGTTCAGCGGTAATTCATTGATGGTAGTCTGTTCATTCTTTAGGGAAAATAATCGAAATTGGTTTTTGGAAATAATTTTTGCGGAATTATAGTTCGTTGTTCGTAGTGAGTGAGAGTAGGTACATCACGCATGGAAAAATTTAATAGAACCTAGCGTTTCTCTCAGTGATTTCTATTGAGTTTGTATTGAGAAGCTGTGAGAATTCTATTAGAATTCTGTTTAAAAATTCTATTGGTTTTTGGCGTCAATTCTGTTGAAGATTTACAACTTTACTGGCGTATTTTGTTGATAGCCAGTACAAAAAATTCAATAGATCTTGGGTTTTCTGTAGAAATTCTTGGGAATAAAATTTTTTATATTTTTCTAGGGAATTTATATTTTTTTTCTCATAATAAAATTCAAGAAAGAAAATTGGAAAATTTTGGGCAGAATAATTCTTAAGGAAAAAAATCCTGACGGCGTGAAGTATGTAGAAAAATCAACATACTTTGTTCTATAACGTAATATCTATTTCAAACCGCCTCGGAGTGTTGTATAATTTTTTATAGAATTGGTGGAAACAACGGATGAAATTTTTCAATTGAATTGTTATAGAGTTCCAATAGAAATTTGCTACAATTTTCTATGTCAGGTTTTTCATTGGTGACACTGAGAAAGAAAATAATTTTTCGCCAATTGAATTGTTGTAGGGTTCCAATAGAAATTTATTCGAATTTCTTGGTGAAAGTTCCGAGTTTTTCAATTGAATTTTTTCATTGGTGTCTCAAGTATATTTGTTTGGCATGAATGCATTATTTTCCTCATTATTTTCCAGTTTCTGCCTCTTATGATTTTTTTCCTCTTGTTCAGGATTCTCTACTTGATCACATGGAGATTTCCATTGTCGAGGCGGAAAAAAGGGCCAATGGGGGACTCAATTTGAGGGAGTTTTATACAGTCTATTTGGTGGAATCTAAGTAAGCAAATTAAAATAATTTTTAATGAAGCAATGAATAAGCAATTTTTCTACCTTCAAAATCATCATCTGAAGTCGCACTCGAGTGCTCCATATTTAGAAGTTTTAAACAAGAATTAAGAGCAGAATTGAATAATTTATTTAAATAAATTTAAATAAATTTTTAATTTATTTAAAAATTACAGAATTTTCCTTGACCATGAAAACAAATACATTTACCGACAATTTACCGACACTGGCTAAACATTCTTAATTAACCCAACTTTGCAGAGTTGTGGATCCAGACTTTAAGGATGCCCTGACGACAATAAGTTCCTTATGGCGTCGTTACACAGAGTTCGAGATGCTCAGAGCTTACCTGGAGGTGACTTACCCCTTCGTAGTACTGCCATCGTTGCCAGAGAAGAAAGTACTCTACGCTTGGCAGAAAGTAACTACTGACACATTCGACCCAGACTTCGTCGATCGTCGTCGAGCTGGTTTGGAGGTAAAAAAACGCAAGAACTACTCGATAGGCATGAGGATTGCAAATGAAGAGAAAATCCATTCCAATGATTTAGACATAAAAACATTAATTTTTAGAATTTCATTCTTTTTACATCTCAATACTTTAATCATGTGTCCTGACAGGTATGAAACAATTCAATAGAAAACCTAGCGAATTCGCTGGAAAATTCTATTGAAAAATTCTATTCGTTTTTGCGCTGAAGTTTTTTCTACTCGGATTCTGCAATGCAAAATAAAACAAAATCCAGCGGAAAAACAGAAAATTTGTGCCCAATAATTCTAATAGAAAAAATCTAAGAGAAAAATTCAAACAAAAATTTGAAACCTATTGACTTTTTCTTATTTTTTGAACATCCAATAGAATCAGCTCAAAAAACAAATCGAATTTTTAAATAGAATTCCGATAGAAATCCTATAGAAATCCCATAGAATTTCTATAGAATTCTAATAGAATTTTCTAGCAAATTCGCTAGGTTTTCCACTGAATTGTTTCATGCGTGGAATTGGCTTGTCTCCGGCTACTCCACGGAGTTGATGTTTTCCTTTTTCACTGGAACGAAACAGAATTTTCTACTGCGAGTCGCAGCCCATCCGATCCTGTCTCGAGACATGCACCTCATGGGGTTCCTTCAGCAGCGGGAGGGCTGGAGGGAGAGTATAAAGGAGAGTGGCTATTTACAATTGGCTGAGAATAAATTGAAGGCGCTCAGTGTTGCAGTGAGGCTGAGAAAACCCGATAAGAGGTTCGAGACAGTAAAAAATTATGGGGTCGACCTTCAAGTGAGTTTTACGTTTACGTTTTTCATAGCAATAATTAATTGTTATTTCTGATTTGGAGATCAGTTGAGATGAGGAAATGAGACCATTGGGGAAATTAACCTTGACGGATGTTTGAATATTTCTGAATCAAGGTTCAAAAAGAAAATTGGTCTGAGGACTATAAAAAAAGTGGAATTGCAAAACGAACAATTTAATTTCCCACTTGTCACCAAACATAAAATACTTTAGGAAATACCTGATTTCAACAAAAAGTATCAAGACACACAGTTTGTTGGGAATTTCATCAGCAATAAGAATGCCCTGTTAATTGAGATTGTCTCCCAGATATGTTAAATTTTACCGAAGTCTATTTCTGTCATTCTTAATTGAAAATTTAATATAATTAAAGTTTCGCAAGATTTTTCTCAATTGTCGACGATGGGAAATATCTGAACTGTCATATGACATCAAAATCCCCAAATACGCGGTCTTCTGAGAAAAAAAATTAAAAATTAAAAAATTGGAATTAAAAAAAATTGATATATTTTACGGATTCTAGTCAAAGCCAACTGCAACTTTCAAATTTCACTGCAGCCTTCCCTTGAATTTTTTTTTCGTACGTACAATTTGATAATCCTTTCCAGAATAATCTCAGCAATCTTCTGCGTGTTCGTGCAAGATGCGCCGAGAGACAATACAGTTTGTACAAGTTACACGCAAATTATGGTAGAGTATTCAGTGAGTGGAGTGCAATTGAAAAGGAATTGGGCGATGGACTGCAGAAGTCTGGTCATTACATGGACTCGTTGGCTGTAACGATAGACAGCCATTTGGAGGAGGAGGAATTGATTGCCGACCAGTTGAAAGAGTGGCTCTTTGGGGCATCTGCCCTGCAGGCTGTCGTCAAACGCAGAGAAGCCCTCCAATTGGTGAAAGACGAGGCCAACGATAATCTCACAGCTGCGTACGAGCAGAAAGACAAAATAATTCAGGGTTGGTTTACAGCGTTAACCCCTCACGTACAGCGTCCATATAACGCGGCTTCTCCCAACGGCCAGGAGACTTACGGCGCGTCAACTCCGTTATTCAATGAACGATAACTTGAAAACACTCGAACGAAAAAAATTGAAATAAAAGCATTGGCTGTGTTGAACTTTGAAATAAACTCCTAGAGAATTTCCTAATTTTTGACGCCAATTTCAATGTTTACCGACAATTGGTTGCCGAGATCTTCGAACATGCAAAATTTATTTATAACAAAAGAATTATTGAACAAACCGAAATTCAACTTCTGCCATTCGATAGGATCATTGAAGTATTTTCAGTAAAAATTTCAAAATTTTTGGGGGAAATTTTGTCGATAAACGAGATGATTTAATATGATTGAATCGGTTGGATGTAAAATTTTCATCTACAACTTTTGTTCGTAGAAAAAAATATTATAAATGCATTGAAAAAAATTAAATAAACTAGTTCGCTGCAGAGACAATTCCATTGACTTTCCAAATATCTTTTCCAAATGTCAATATGTCTCTTAGAATTCGAGAAAATGATTTTTTACTGTTGACGGAAAGGGTCGAGGCATTGACCCTGGCCGATAGGACAAGTCCAGGGGTCAATTCACCTCTAGCATTATCTGCGTTATGTCACTAATTTTTATAATCAACTTGAAATCGTTCTCTTGCGCAGGCAAGACAGGATTGATGTCACGTCTATTCGGCTCTGTCGATTCGGAAGAAATGAGGGAAGTCAAGGCTAATCAGGTGGAGCAACGAATTGTGCAGGCAGAGGTCGCTGATAAGGAGGCACACGATGATCTAACGTATGTTTTGTCATTAGTTCTTTTTGTTTAGTCATCTCAGTTGCGAAATTACAGAGATAAATCAACTTGACTTCGGAAAAAAATGAGTGTTTTACGAATGTCAGTGAATGCAAGCGATGAGGTGAAATCGGCGAAATTTTTAAAGAAAATTCTGCGTTCCATTTTCTTTTCAATTAATCCCTTGATGAATTTTTCGCTCGTCAAAACTTCTCAATAATTTTCCATTCTACTGAATGGTAAATTATTATTCTCGTCAGTATTCCCAAGAATAACAAAAAAGCTAATAAAAACAAATTTAATACAAAATTTAGTTCACAATTATTTTCACTTTTTATTCGCCCTCATCATTGATTGATTTTTCTTACTACGTATCATTCATTTCATAATGCATTTATAAATATATAAAATAAATGTATGAAATTTAATATACATTTAAAATCTGAATGAAGTCGAAGTCATGTCCTTTTGTTTTATCAATTCCTCATAAAATTAACAGTTATTTTTTCATCTTTCAGGTCCTTCTCCTCAAAAGCATTAACGGAGATCGAACGTTTCCAGCAACAGAAGAATGCGGATCTCAAGGAAACCCTAGCAGCTTACTGTGTTCTACAGTTCAAACTCGCCAGAAAGGTATTTCTATAATTTCACACAATCGAATAATTTTTCATCCAGCATCATCATCATCTCTTCAACTTGCTAAAGTATTTAATACTTAATTGAATTTCTCCACAGAGTCTTCAAAACTGGCAACATATCAAACAGTGCTTGGAGAGCATGCCATAAACAATTCTGTCTTATCACTAATTTTGTCTCATCCAGTGAGAAGAGACGATAGAGTACCTAATATAAGATTTAAAAAAGTAGATGATGAGGTGAGGAAAAATGATTCTCTCAAGAACAATCAGTTTGCAGTCTCATTACAATGTACATTCCTTCTTGGTAAGCTCACCTAGTTATATCCAATAAGATAATGTCTTCATCCCACTGGTATAAATATCCAGTGATGAGCTTAATTCAGTAGTGAATTGGTGTAACGTCTACTCAACAAATAAATTTTTCTCATTTTGGTGAAGCAATGAGAGAAAAAATGAGTAAATAATTAATTAATAATAGTAATAGTAAACAATTCCATTTCTTTTTCTATAGAATATTTTCCAGTAAACATTTATATTGTTAGTTCTGTCGAAAAATTGCATGTTCGTCGTGGGAATATTCAATGGAGTGGAACAGATTTACACTGAGAGAAAGAGGACAAACTTCTCAAACAAGTCTTACTTGTGCCACGAAAATGTCTCGATTGAAACTTTCTTTATCGTCCACCACTAAATTGTTTCAGTACAACGAAAGATCGACAAAAGACGTGGAACATAATTTTTTGGCAAAACTAATTTTTTCTCTCATTGCAAAATTAATAAACACGTTTGTTTGTTTGGAATTCGCTATTTTTTTTGTACGCGAATCCTTAATTAACTGGAACCATTGATCTACTTTGAAAATATCTCTCGCCGTTTTTCTCCCGCAGAATTGACACAATTGTTGAGTCGACTCACTGCGTTCCACCTCTTCACTACAAAATTCCACTGCATAATAACGTATTCTACTTATGCCTCTGATTGTTCACTATTTATATATTTATGAGTTACTGGAAGAAACGATGTAAAGCGTCCTTACTTTATCACTCCTGATTGAAAGAAGTGAGATAATTACGATGACTGACCTGGCTGAAAAACTTACATTCGTGATCGAAGTAAACTCAATCTCCCATCAATCAGCAATTTTTTGTTTCTCTTCAACCGAGACAACATTATGTGTAGCTATAATTATTTCCATACGGTGCCATTCAGTGTTGACGGATTCATCTCGTCATTCAGTGAATCATTACTCATAATTCGTTAATAGATGCAGTGTGTAGAGGAACGATAATCAACAAGAGATGATTTTGCCCGGATTAATTGTAAATATCTCGGTAACTAGTAGGTTTATTATCTGGGTAAATGTCGACAGTTTCGTTTTTTATTCCATGAATTTTACGTAAAAAAAGACTCTAGTGACAAATTTCGCTGAGCCTCGCATTTCATTTCGACTCGTTCATTTTTTTTTTCATGACAAATTTAATTATCGATAGCAATTACGCTACGAGGAAATCCAAATATTTACACTACTTTCTCATGTGTGAAGTTGAATAAAATATTGTATTATTTCTTCTACTTCAGCAAAGACTTGCATTATTCAAATTTTTTAAATCAAATGTTTCTGTTTCCAAAAACCTGGCATCCTAAGCTGAATTTATTTCACATCACATTCCGTCTATTTAACATTGAGTCCAAAAATGGAATCCCCCCCCATCGCTTCATTGTTTTACGCACCTAATAATTAATAGTTTAGTTGTTTACTAGGGGTTAAATGCCCAAATGACCCCCATGATCCTTATTGTGACCCTTAATCTGACTTGTGACCCTTAACCTGACCCTCGTGACCCTTATTATACCCCTCAAAACCCTTACTTTGACTCTTCATTTCTGACCCTTAATTTTGGAATCTTAATTTCGAGCACCAAATTTACATATCTCGTTTACATATTTGTGGTCAGTTGGTGAATGTGAATTCTAATTCTGAAGTTTTTATTTTCTGATATCCAATCTAAAACATCTCATCTTTACACTCATTTCAATAGAAATATTGGACTAATGACGTGTTCATTTTAGCTACACGAGGGTAGGCTAAGGTTAATTTACCTTAAGGTGAGAATTTTTGGCTCATCTCAATCTTCGTTGGAAGAAATTTTTTATATCGGATTGAGGTGGCAATAAAAATGCACTTGGGTAAAATCTCATAAATCTAAGAATTTGCACGAGCAGCTGCATTTTCTCCGGAATCCACTTACTGATTGTTGCGCAAATATCCGGAGAGCTTTTCCTCCAATCTTATAACTTCGTATAAAAGCATCTTCTTATAAATTTCCATAAATTCGTCCATTGTCACGATATTGTAGGCAACACCCCCACAAGTTTTTGACTTCTCACGATTTTACTCCATAAAGAAGTCAATTAGATCACAAGATATATTTCAGGATTGATGATTTTGAAGAAAGTAAATCAGTCATTAAAACTAAACACTGCACCTTCAATTATATTTTTATGATTAAAAGCTCCCAACTCGGAATATTGGAAGTTTAAAGCGTACGAACGTCTCCTAATGTCACAGGTTAATTGGGAGCCACAAACACACCGGACGTGGATCGATTTTGCTCATTAAGTTTGTTGTGTCAAGTCATGCATGGCATTCGATTTCGATCACTGCAACACTGGAAAACTAGGGAAAATTATCAGATGTCGATTTAACGTGACCTCTCACGCGAGAAACGCTCCCGCGAGTATGAAACAATTCATTAACATGTCGTGTTTATTTACTCTGCAACAATAAAAACTGGAATGACCAAAAAATGTTGAAGATTCGAAATTGCTCATTCATGTATATAATATTCCGGAATTAGGTATATACAATTTTCAAATAGATTCTCAGTCGATTTTGGGATAAATTCATTCTCTGGATGACAGTGTACGTCAAATTGGTGACTCGAAGGGAAGAGGAAAAGGAGAGGAAAGGAAAAGAAAAAAGTGACACAATTATATTGCGATGAAGTGCAAGTTTGGGGCCTCCCGAACCTCTACCTCGTGTAGTGACTCGGAGCAGTCCTCAGAGTGAGGAGCTAATGGCCTCCCAGCAACTTCAAACTGTTCAGGAGGTTGCTGGTGGCAATAATAATTCAAAAATCCCGAAAGAATGTCCCAAAATACGACCAATTGCACTAATAATTCGCAAAAGCCCCAATTGCTAGCCGAAACGGCGAATCCACGGAGAAAGAACGTATGAAAATATTTCCCTGAGTGCTCCTCGTGATTATTGCCCGATCTCACTTCAATTCGGACGGCGCGTTGTCAATACATGCCATCTCTTATAGACGCAACGTACAATATTTCAATGCGAGGAAGTCCCCGGAATATTATTCCGGAATTGAGGATACAATAGTCCGGATTCCGGAATATTATTCTGAAATCGGAATTGAGAATTAACTATCCCGAATTACGGAATATTCCGGAATCTAGAATGCCATATATGTACCGGATTCAGGGGTACGAGGATATTTTGTTTCCGTGCACTACAAAAAAATCTGGCCCCGGGCTGTCAAGGGGATTTGCTTACTCGCGTGGCTGGCCATCAGGCGGTGATTGGACGTCAACTCCATGCGAGTAGAAAAATCCATTGCAATAGCCAGGAAAAATACCATCGCTCCCCAATTACTTGCCTTGTTTGATCATTTTTTTCCGCGTTTTATCATGTGGTGTCGAAGGACGCTTACGAAACTTTCGTCCTCCAGTAGAAATTAAATGAATGATTATTAATAGTCCGTATTACCGATCTTGCACCGTCGCCACATCCACCAACTGTGAAAATATTCGTTCTCTCTTGAGAGAACTCAAGAGTCGGTGGATTTTTCCCATCGGCAATTATAATTTTTATTTTCCGAAATAGCGGGTGCATAAATAATATCGCGGTTGCTCCGCTGGGGTCCTAAAATTAATGGGAAAACCCAGGATTGCACGTCCGGGTTCTATTATAGGAGAATCATTGAATCATCGCAAATGAAATTTAGCGGAGATGTGCAATAAGGAAGTGATAAAATAATCGCCATCAATATTAAATTTCTGTAGTATCACAAGATTTTGACCCTTACATTAATGAAGGTTTAAAATATGTTGATCTAATTTTTCAAATAATATAATATTAATAATCTGGTTTTTTTTTTAATAATGATGAATTAAAATTTGTTAATATGGCACTAAATTTACCACTAAGTGAATAACTCAAATTTCTTAAAAGGGGATTTTGGATTACACAAATAATCGTCAATCTTCCAACCTCGATTATTGATTGATAAAATAGTTAAAAATTTGAATATTTCAATTGATGGTACTCGAGTACTCAAAAAATTTAGGAGTAATGTTAACTAATTGATGGCTAGAATATTTAACGGTAATTAAATGGGAGAAAAAGGTCTGTTTTTTATACTCGGATAGGAAAAAATATAGGAATATAAATCAAAGATTTGTATAATCTAGGACCTTAAGCAACGATTATCCTTGTTTCTAGGCTTAAGGTTATCCCTGGGGAAATAGATTGCTGACAAAAAAGGTGACACCAATATTTTAATAGAGGAAACAATTTCAGTTCATTTTGCAAACGGTTTTTAAATTAATTCAATAATGAGTGAAAAAAATTTCATAAATTTGGTCGCATTTTTTGAATATCCTATCCCTCGCCCGAGTATCCTTAAAAGCTTCTAGTAGAATATCCCAAGACGATCGGGCCCAAAACTTAGTCCTTATGGATTTCCGGAAGAAATTCTAAACTTTGTTGATGCAGCACTGTCTGGTACAGGTTCAATGAAAAGAAGGAAACGATCATGTGGGAAAAGACTCTTTTATTCATTAATTCGTCAAATATCGATAACATACGCACCATATAACTACTCTGACTCTACCTTTTATTCATTATGGCATTAATTATCATCAATAACATACGCACCATATTACTTAATAATATCACAGTATTGCATTAATTCAGTATTTACAAGTACCATTGAAATTACCAAAAAGGGCCGGCGCATAGTCGAAAGATATTGTACCCTTAGAGTCAATAATTCATCGTTAATTATACGAACTTTTCAATCGCTAATTGTAAGAGAGTCGACGCTTAAAAATTTAGGCGTGCAATGAATGAAATTTCGAAATCTAGGGGAGACCGAGGCAAAATGAAATGCGAGAGAAAATGAAATAATGTGGAAAACGCATCACTCACACGATTTGGGGGACTTTTTTGACTTAATTTCACTTCGGGGGTAACAGATTGACCTTAGGTTACGCGCTTTTTTATTTTTATTTTCATTTGGATGGGATTTTCTCCCTAAATTTTCTATATGCGAATCAAGTACTGATGAAGATCGTTCTTTCGATACTGAATATGTCCTCTTCATGTATTTTTGACTGCGCACGAATCTCGGTATTAACGTGGATGACGATCTTTTCTCCAAATTCTTGGAACACCTGAAAACCTAAACGGAACACAACTAGAATAATTCAGCCCTCGTCTCCCGGACTTTTCAGGTAAAAATATTGGACTCGGAAAGAAGGAAAAGAAATTATTGCTTTCCTTTGAACTTATTGCGAGACGGAATTGTACTGGATTGCGCCTCAATTCGCCGAGGTTTCCTAGTTCCCACATAGAACAATTTATATTTTGAAAAAATATATTAAAAAATATCTTAAATTGACCCAATTTATATATTTTTGTAATATATTTTTTGATGGGGGAGTACACTGTTAAAAAATTACTCTTGAAAGTTCAAATACAAAATCTAGAAAATTTTTACAAAGAATAATAGACATGGAATTTCCATTCACCTTGTTATTGATAAATCAGTGAATGTTCTTGAATATTGTTCTTGAAAATTCAAATGCATCTGTTATTTGAATTCCAAAAAATTTCTGACAGTGTACAATGGAGGGAAAAACCAACTATCAACTCCTAATTGGATGTTTAAAATTTACTTTGCATACAAGCTCACGAGCTTACCCTACATTGCGAGTAAATAATAAGGAATGAAGGGGATTCCCCCGTCCAAGACAGTCTTGCCAACGCTTCAAGTACGGAAGAGGCGCTCGTCATTCCTCGTTCTTTCTCGACCTCTCAACATACCACCCTTATTAATCTAAATTTTTTTCGACTGTGCGTCGGCCCTAATCAAGCGAATATACACACGGAGAAAAAACCTCAGGCAAAAATGACGCGATAAAACGTAAAAGTGAGCCAAACCGTCTTTCGGGAATTTTTACGTAAAAAACGGAAGGAATTCGAAGCGACGGATAAATTTTCCCTCTGGAGTTCTGGAAATTTTATGGATCGACGTAACTTTCATATAAAAATCCATAAAAAATAGCGCGGAAAACAGTAGTGATGCATCACAATTGCATTAAACAACGTAATTTTTACCCGATTTTCATGGTAATTTTTTTCTAATTTTTTTCTCCGTGCAGTTATCAATTACAACAATAGCAGTCTTACTTTAAACATTAAACAGGAAAACAACATCAGCCGTAGAAAAATGTATTTCTCTCCAACTCACACTCCTCAATGTTCTCATCAGTCACTTGTCACATTCCTAAAACTCGCTTTTCAACATCACTCCAACGGAGAGATCTCGATCCCCATAATCAGCGGAGTAAATAATTCCAGGAAGTAGTTATTAACCGGTCAGACAGCAGTTCAAGAACACCTGAGTTATTTAAACTACTTGAATATTCACAAATATTTGCAAATCGCACTGGCCTTCATAGCTCACTGCAGCACAGGCGTACGAGACAAGAAGGGAGATACATAATGTTGCGAGGTAAACAGCATAAATTCCAAAAAAGATCAATTAAGAAGGGAGAGGAAAGAAAGAGAATAAAAAAAGCAGAGGACAGAGCGGAAAACTATTTAAAGTAGCTCTACCCTTACGGTAAATTCAAAGATTAATTTCTAATTTTTTTCTCAATTTAATTATCGTTTTGGTTTTTCAATAAGAAGTTTTTAAGTGATAAAGAATAATGAATACAGATCGAATGCATTCAAAGGAAAGATAGTTAATCATAATACTACTCCCTCTCCGTGTGGCGGTGGACATGCTCCCATACAGACATTATCGCCAAGCTTCATATTTTTACCTCTCAAGCCATTCTACATAATTTCCAATAAAAATTAGAGAACGTGAAAATTGGACGACTGCAATGCTTTCATTCGGAAGCAAAAAGTTCATTGCCAAAAAATTCCTTCAAACATTCTGGAAATTTCCTCTTCTCTTGTCAAGAGACAGTCCTCATTCTTTCCATTCATTCCTTCGACCGCTTTTTTTCTTCCCTCGAATTACGTTCTCCCTCCACTCAAGGATTACTCAATCCCCGCACTTTGAGCTAACAAGGTCAATATGCACCTGTTTGTATCGGCTGTTTTGCACGCTTGTACAGTTTCAGATTTACATGCAGAAGTATTACGGTAATGCAGTCTATTTTTACGCACAATGTTTTATGCTTTGTGAGTTGAATTCCTAGACTAAAAGTGAAACGTTTTAATGCACAATCATTTGAATCGTTGATGAATTTCGTACGTTTGTGGACTGTACGCTTTTGAATTGGATTTCATGTTCAAGAACTTTGCATTTTGCACAGAATTAGGGAGTATAATGCAGCTGTGAAGTGGTTAACGTAGGCATGAATATTCAGATATTGTTTTTGATAATTAACTGTAGTTATTTTTCGCTCCATTTTTTCGGTTTTAGGCGATGTCGTAGGATGTGTGGACGAATCCACTCGTTGAATTGATATAATAGTTAGGGACATGCGACTGGATACATTGTTCCACTGATTTCCGTGCATGTACGTTCTAGAAAATCCGATAATTTTCTCAAATTTTCGAAAAGACGGAAGAGTTTCCGGTAAAACCGGAGAATTTTCTTGAAAACCAATGAATTTTCATGAATTTTCAGGAAGAACGAAGAATTTTCTCGAATTTTTCAGACAGCTGGAGAATTTTCTCAAATTTTCTAGAAAACCAATGAATTTTCATGCATTTTCTGTAAAACCGGAGAATTATCTACAATTTTCTAAAAAGCTGGAGAAAATTCTTGAATTTTCTGAAAAATCACAGAATTTTCTCTAATTTTCCAGAAAGCTGGAGAATTTTCTAAAATTTTCTAAAAAAATGGAAAATTTTCTCGAATTTGCCCGAAAATTTTTCCAAATTTCGACAACTGACGCCGGCGTTTAGGGTTAACTCTGTCAAAATGTGAGCCCCACCATGAAATTAAGTATATGCCCCGTCAAAAAAGTTTTTAATTTTTAAAATTATTATCCGTTTCAGCTTTCAGCGCCATTCTAAAACCAAACGCGTAATCCATCCACAAGCCAATGATATCAAGTGTATAATGCATCACTGATTAAACATCAGAGGATTAAATTCCTTCAACTCTCCAATGAATTTATTGTCTGTTCATGATCATGAAACACTGAAAAATGTGTGAAAATTGTTCGCGTGAATCTGAAAATGTACGAGAGTGTCAAAAACCCTCCAGACGTGATTTCAGGGTTGATTTCAGTCATTTCGGAAAGAAATGAAATCGATGACATCAAGTGGTTTGCATTCTGACGATTTCATAGATTCGAAATAAGTGATTTCAGAGGCAATGAAATAATTGAAATCACGACGAATAAAATTCGTCGCATTCTCTTACAAAACATTCACTCATGTTAACTCACTTCGCCCTGATTTCAAGACTTCAGCGATTTTTCGAAGATGACTTCAAAGATTTCAGTAATTTCACACGATTTCAGGGAGACGTCGGGAGTGCGCCCCTCGCTCCAGATGCAAATACTCTACAATTTCCTCAAACAAATCTGTGCTCTTTGGCGACATAACACGTCGTCATAGAGTACTCCTCACGTTTCCCCTCAAAATCCGTGATTCCCTCCCCAAAACCGGCAGTTGTGGAGTTGAATTTGAATACTTTTTTGCCGGGAATCCACTTGAAAAATCTCCACCACTTTTTCCTCCTCACTTCCGTCGTTCTCATCAATCCCACATAACTCTCTCTACTCCGTTTATCATTCTCATCATTTTTGCAGTCATTCTTCGTCGCACTTCGGTTATTCCGGCCGAGCAGAGGGTCGCCATTCCGCAGTTGCAAGGAAACTTTATCCTTCGGGGAAGACGAGAATTGCGTCAATTCCGATGTTTCTGTTCTGTTTGGAGTTACTCTACCCCTTGACTCTTTACCACTTAGTTTTATCGTTGGAATACGTTTCACCGAGTGGCGATTCCCATAGTCACTTAGCCCCAGTGACCGAGAGCCCTCGCTGGACTCGACAGCTGCTGTAACTTCAGATTGACCTGGTAGGGAAGTGCTTTGTCGAAGGCTTCCCTCCCTCATTGAATTGCCCGAACAATCGGAGCTTTCTTGTGGCACTGCTACTCCGTAACCAATGATACGCGAACCGAAAACACCTGCTGCTCTTTGCTGGGATCTCGAGAGACTCGAGTAGGATCGCTGCTCCGGTTGGCTGGAAAATGATGAGCCACCACAGCTTGTTGCTAGGGTTTCCTGGGGACATTCAAGTTGTGAGTTCAAGAATACGGAGGGGTAATTCTGTTTTGGCTTGGGTTTAGTGTCTTGCGGAAGTACCGCGGAGTACACTGAGAGAAAAACGACAAAGTTCCCAAACAAGTCTTACTTGTGTCGAGAAAACAGTTTTTTCAAAATTATCAAAAAAGGATTTTTTTGTGCCAAACATGCGGAGGGTGCGCTGGAATGAAAAATTTTTGTCGCAAAAATAGATTTAGTAGTTCAAAAAAAATTTCATTCTCTGTACACGCAAGAAATGTCATTTCTAGCACTACTTTCTAATTATTTCACTATTATTTCACTAATGTCATTTCTAGCACAATGTAATTTCTTCGTTATTCGATACTTGTTTTAATCATAAGGATTACTGAAAAAAAATGAAACAAATCAAAATTGACATAATTTGCAAAATTCAACTTTTTCACCTTTTTTCTTCGCAAACTCGTTATTATGAGCATCTAAAGATCGAAATAAAATTTTCACTAAAAATATTCTTATAGGCAGTAAAAAACAAAAAAATTTGACGCTTAATAAATCAAAATTGAATGGATAGAGCTCGAGTTATTGAAACAGAACGGTAAAACGAGAAAAAAATCATATTTCCAAAATGGGCTGCCGAGAAAATCTAAAAAATTTGAGAGATAGTTGAAACGAAGGGGTTGAACCAGGGCTGGACTCTTGTCAATAATCAATACGAGAAATTTAGAGGAATTGATTGAACGGCGAACGCATTGACGAGGGAAGAGCAAAGGGTGCAGAAGGTTTCGGTAATTGAATTGCATCGAAGAGACTCACCATGAAAGCTTCCCGGAATTTATGTGACATGATATTGTAGAGAATGGGATTGATAGTGGTTGAAACGTAGTACAGGACTCCTGAGATGTACGTGAAGATGTAATAGAGAACCTCGAACCACTTGGTTTTCGAGGAAATGCCATCTGTTTCTGTCCCGTAGATGGCTATCAGACGCTGCACGTGGAAGGGGGCCCAGCAGATGAAGAATGCGATTACAACTGCAACTGAAGTACAGAGTCAACATGAGTCAAATGATTGTTTAACAATTTTTGTCGTTTTACGTTACGGATTTTCTCATTGAGATTTTCACTGGAATTTCGTCCACTCGAGATTTGTCTCGATTGAGAGGGTAGGAGGGTTGAAAAAAACCTGTCGACATGTCTGTAATTCATGTTTACAGACACTTTTCAAATATTTCTGGGACAGCGCGACGTAATTCAGTAGCGAAGCGGTAAACCGTGTTAAGTCGTTCTCGACTATTGGCCAGTTTTTGACGAATATCTCGGAATCTAAAAGAGATAGAAAATTTTTTGTCATGACCTTTTTTGTAGAGCCAATTGAGGGGTATAAAAGAGGTCGTGAAGAAAATTTAGCTATCTCTCTTAGATCTCGAGATATTCAGCAAAAACTGACCAAAAGTCAAAATCGACCCGGTTTACCGCTTGCAGAGTCTAGCAGCTCTGAGACTGATAAAATAGCCGATAATACCTGATGAAGATATTTTTCTGCTATCGAAAAGGCAATGGACATGGAAATGTATGACGAACATATATTTCGCACTCCATTCAATTACGGACCACCCGGAAATTTGAAAAATCTTAAATTATGGGGTCGAAATATTTTACGAATTCGGTGATAAATGATTTGGATTTTTTTAACGATGTTTCGACGGTTGAAAATTGGAAATTTCTGTTGAAATTACTTGGTGTCATCAAATCTTTGCATAATAAAAAAAGAGAAAAATTTTTCTCTCAGCCAATCTTAAGAAATACGGGTGGGCGGTACAGGCACCGGCTACCCTATGGATTTATTACATTTCCAACAAAGATACTTCTGAAATGATTAAAAAAATCCAATCAAGAGTTTTATTTGATTCAAAGACTTCAATTTAAAGAGTAAAACATCGAGTCGTGGGAAAATGACAGAGGTATTTACGTTTATTATATTTTTGAAATGATATAAAAATTTCAAATCATGAGGTTTCTGTGATTCAAAAGCCTCATTTGTCTGGATGTGTATAATGAGAGTAAAAAATTGAGTCGCGGGGAAAATATGAGAGGATTTGTATTTATTATGTTTTTGGAATGATATAAAAATTTCAAATAATGAGTTTTCTGTGATTCAAAGGCCTAATTTCCCCGGAGGCGCAGGATAAGAGTGAAAAAAATCGGGTCGCGAGGAAAGTGAGAGATGTATTTAATATGTTCATTATATTTTTAGTCGCCAGATCTCTGTCAATATTTAATCAGGATTTCTACGCTGAAAACGTAGAAGCTTCCATTCGTCGCTTAAAAAAATATTTTTTTTACGGACAGAACAGAGCATAAACAGCAATGCTCATGATATCCTTGAGTGATTCTCCTGGAAAAAAGGTTGGAAAGATTTTTTGCAGAAAATTTTCCTGGTTATAGAAAACGTTCTTTGATTCTCAGTGCCATCTATTACGTTGATAATTCGACAATCAATAGGATTAATTATTTCTGTAAAAAACGCGGCACCACTTCCTCAATGAATTTATTCAAGTTGAATAATCGGTTGAATGCAAATAGTTTATTTAATGAAATGAGAGATATTCTGTAATCATTAATCTGGTTTTAATCAATTTTTTACTTGAATTCATAGAACAAACAGTAGTTGTTTTCCATATTGAGAATGAAGAAGCATTTTGATATCTGGAAAAAAAAATATTGTCTCTCCAACCGAAGAAATTCAAACAGATGCGGTTGTGGGAATAAAATAGAATTAGATTCATAGTCTTCGTATGCATTGTTAAAATTTTTTATCGAATTTAATTACCACTTAAATTTTAAGGAATTTCGTAATCGTAAATTTAGAATTTTGTGGAAAAATTAAAGAGAACTGTAAATTTCAGTTCCTTTTTTCCCTGAAAATGAATAGAAAACCAGACAATTACAGTTAATATTTTTATTTTTTTATTTTTTCTATTTCATTGGTTTTATCGAAGCAATTCTCAATTTGAAACCCCTCCTCTAGCCTGCCACCCCTCCTTTCTTTTTCCTCTCATAAATTACAGTTAATATATTCTTAAATTTTCAGGACACTGACACTGAATGCGATTTAGGGGAAAAAATTATGAAATTTCAGATTTCACTGAAAATTCGATGTAGTTCGGCACTGAATATTCATATTAAAGTAGCTCTACCCTTACGGTAAATTCCAAGATTATTGAAAACTGCAAAAAAATTGCAGAAAACTCGATTAGATTAGAAATTCTAATTTTGTTCTCCATTTAATTATCGTTTTGGTTTTTCAAAGATGAAATGTGTAAAAATCAGGATTTAATCCAGTGGATTATGTGAAAATCAACATTTTCATTGTAATCAAAGATTAAAATCTGAATTTTATTTCATTAGATGTGAAAAAATGAAGAATTTTATTGACACCTCATAAAAAATAATCCACCGTTTTGCAAACAAGTTTTATAATTTATTTATAAGAGGGAAATATTTGAAAAAATATCAATATTTGCGAAATTTAATGTATTATATAAAATTTAAAAACTGAAAATATCCAAAAGTACAGCGTAGCCCGGCCGAAGGGTAGAGCTACTTTAAATTGGAAATTCAACTAAATTAAGGAATTCTCGTCTTTACGCTCCTTAAAATTCTGGAATCTTACTGAATTTTCAGTGAAACCTGAAATATCATGATTTTTTCCCCTAAATCGCATTCACTGTCACTGTCCTGAAAATTAGTAGTCAATTGTCCATGAAATTTCTTTTTTTTCCAACAGTGGGTCTATTGGAAAAATATGATAAGATTAATTATCATTACAAAAAAATCTGTCAGCGCTCCTTCAACGAATAAATCCATGTTAAATAATCGACTCTATTCAATTCAGTAGGAGACATTCTGTAATTATTCATCCGATTTCAATGAATTTATTGCTTGAATTAATGAAATAAACGCTTTCAATATTGACAACAAAAAACGTGTTTCTGCATCCGCAAAAAACATTGCCTCCCCAACCGAAAAGAGACAACTGAAAATAATTTTCCATATGGCCGAAAGCTTTGTCGTATTGAGAATTTATTTCCTCTGTCAGTTGCGATAGAAGTGTATTTTGGGATGAAAGGCAATTACAGTCAAAGGCTTTCATGTTATCAGTGGGAAGAAATATCTCGAACAAAGAGACAATTTTATCACCAGGCGAATACGCCAAATGGAAATACGTTGAAGCGCTTAGTCAAAATAGAGCTCCGTTTGTGGATTACGCAAACTCATGGTGAAAATAAAAATTGACATTTCATGCCTGAGGCCGAGCTGGAGCTCTCACAAACGCCAATATTTTGTGTCTATAGATAACTGAGACGTTTGTGAATTGATTTTAGATAGTGGGGAACTTGCATGATTTGGAAATTTAAATAAATTAAGGAATTCTCTAGTGGTGTCGCGAGACGCGGGAGGAACGAGACAAACGAGACAAGAGACATGGCGAGACGAGAGATGAAATTGCTCTCGTATCGACCCTTTCCGTTAACAGTAAAAAATCATTTTCTCGAATTCTAAGAGACATATTGCCATTTGGAAAAGATATTTGGAAAACCAATGAAATCGTCTCTGTAGCGAACTATTTTATTCAATTTTTTTCAATGCATTTATAATATTTTTTTCTATGAACAAAAGTTGTAGATGGAAATTTTACATCCAACCGATTCAATCATATTAAATCATCTCGTTTATCGACAAAATTTTCCCCAAAAATGTTGAAATTATTACTAATAAATTCAATTGAAGGCCCGAGTTGTAGACCCGAGTTTGTAGCAGCGATGTCAGACAAGATATGAATGTTTTTTTGAGCTCAAATGAAAGAGCGGGTCGAGAAATGGCGTGCAGAAGTCTTTAAAGATGACAAATCTCTCTAAAGATGATGTCTGTTTTCAATTGAAAAGCGCAATTGTGACAACATTTTCCAGTGGGTTCTAGGAGTCTCCCCTGGTTCAACACCATCTTTAGAGGTCCTAGCACGCCATTTCTCGACCCGCTCTTTCGTTTGAGCTCAAAAAAACATTCATATCTTGTCTG